AAAAAAATGCAACCTTGCCTCTCATACCTTGCCTCTGGCATGATCATGTTTGAATTACTCAAAGAATTTTTTTGAGAGACTGAATCTGTTGTGTATTAGGGAAGTTGCATTGTGAAAGTAATTTGATGCCATTGCTTTCTTTCTGGTAGTACCTACAAGGCACTGTGAAAGCAAATGTTAGTATCCGGCCTCAGGCAAATACTGCAGTACAGAATGAAGACTGCAAGCTAAAGATAGGAAGCAGAATATTGTAACTCATAGCTATGTACATATAATAAAGGGGCTCATGGGTGAGCAATATTTGAAATATTTATTGCAAATATTGAAACAATATAAGCAGTCAGGCACACAGTTATGTTTAAGAACAACAGATTGGTACAGGACCTTTATACATAACTATGCATTGAACTGTGGCCAATGTTGTCTTGGATCCAGACTTTGCTACTGCCAGTAGGAGCATCGCAGAGGGATACTCTGCTCAGGGGATCCTGCTCCTGGTGTAAGAAGATTGGGGTGGGCTTTTGCCAATAGCCCCCGCTGCACTCTGTTGCACTCTCTGGAGGATTGGGGAACGGGGCAGGGGAAGCTGAAAGGTTGGGGGAATTGCTGCACCCTCCCTTCTCCCTTCACATAATTGTATCAAAATACAGAGCACACAACAGGGTGCGCTCCCGTTGCTCAGTCCCAGCGCCTGCCAACCTAGCAGTTCGAAAGCACCCCCGGGTGCAAGTAGATAAATAGGGACCGCTTACTAGCGGGAAGGTAAACGGCGTTCCGTGTGCTGCGCTGGCTCGCCAGATGCAGCTTGTCACGCTGGCCACGTGACCCGGAAGTGTCTCCGGACAGCGCTGGCCCCCGGCCTATAGAGTGAGATGAGCGCACAACCCTAGAGTCTGGCAAGACTGGCCCGTACGGGCAGGGGTACCTTTACCTTTTACTTTTTTACAGAGCACCCAGGAAACTGATTTTATAGCAAACTTCCTGTGAGCTGCCTCCTACAAGTGCATGCACCACAATGTCAGTAACTCTGTCTACTGTGATCAAACAAGCAAAGGGGCTAATTACCTCTGACGATCAAAACAGATCATCCAATGAATGCGGAAAAGTGCACAAGCAAAAGACACATAGCAATGCTTTTATTCCTACGACACAAGATAACATCACTGACAGACAGAGACTCTCACCTAAGAGATCTACAGCAAACCTTTTTAGAACTAAAATACCCAGCAGATGAAGTTAGACAACAGATCAACAGAGCCAGACTGATACCCAGAGAGAACTTGCTGCAAGACAGACCCAAAAAAGAAAATAACAGAACTCCTCTAGTCATCACATACAGCTCCCAAGTTAAAACAGTACAACGCATCATCAGAGATCTACAACCTCTCCTGGACAATGACAGTTCTCTTTCTCAAGCTCTGGGAGGAAGACCTTTCATTGCCTACAGACAGCCACCCAATCTTAAACAACTCCTAACCCACAATAATACTACAACCAGACTTAACACGGACACTGGCACCAGAGCCTGCAATAAACCCAGATGCCAACTTTGCTGCCACATACACCCAGACAACACCATTACTGGCCCCAACAACATTACACATACCATCACGGGACTATTTAATTGCTCATCGTCTAACATTGTGTATGCCATCAAATGCCAACAGTGTCCTTCAGCTCTCTATATTGGACAAACAGGCCAAACCTTACGCCAAAGAATAAACGGACATAAATCTGACATCAAGAATCACAAGACAGAGAAACCAGTAGGAGAACACTTCAGTCTCCCAGGACATTCTATACAAGATCTCAAAGTAGCTGTTTTACTACAAAGGAATTTCAGAAATAGACTGGAAAGAGAAGCTGCTGAATTGCAAATCATTACCAAACTTAAAACCATGGAGACACCTGGCCTGAACAGAGACATTGGATTCTTATCTCACTATACATGACAAAGCCATTTTTCACCTTCTCACCCCTTGCTTTTTCCTGTAAGACCTACTGCAGTCGTTAAGGGTCGTCAACAGACTCATCACAGCTATCTGCCAATCACCCATTCCCACCCCCCTCTGAGTAATACCCCTCCCCACCTTCTCACTATATAGAAGGATCTGGCAACTTCTGTTTCAGTGTATCTGAAGAAGTGTGCATGCACACGAAAGCTCATACCAAGAACTAACTTAGTTGGTCTTTAAGGTGCTACTGGAAGGAATTTTTTTTGTTATCACTGAAAGGGAAGGTGTGAAACCTTATCTGGTTCCTGAAATTCTGAATGTGAGCAATCAGCAGATGCATTTGGCTCTCCTATCAAACGTTTCCTGGTGTTATTCACTTTTTATAAAGTAAGGCGGGAACCAGGCAGCAGGAAGTAAGCCTGGTTTGTCATGTTCCATGTTTTACTTACAAGCTAATGGAGGGAGGAAAGATGAGAATTGGCAGGTAAGAGGTATAAATTTTAACTCTTTCCCATTAGTCAATTATAACGTGAAAGTAGCTATTTGGGGGGGGGGAGCATTTTCGGTATTCCTCCCCAACATGCTAGGCTCTTAAACAGGAGGGAAGTCTGGCTGGGAGATATCCAAGTAAGAATGGTTGTTATAAACTTTTATCATCTCTGTCCTCTTTCTCATTCACACTCGCAAGTACATCTGCCCGATTCAAGTACATGTGGCTTTGGGAAATTCCACTGCCCAGTTAATTTGTATTTCTGTCCCAAGGTTCTATATCTTCAAATTATATAGAAATTTTTGGATATTTTAGTACCTTCGGGTAAATTCTGATGCTTGATACCGGAAATAAGTTTATATCCAACCGTTTTCCATGTATCTTAATGCTATAACTATATGCGCTGAGCAAGAGAGTTTACATTTGGGATGTCTTACAACACACTCTCTTCAGGGAACTGCCCAGGAAGAAAAAGTTGCTCCACTTATCACTTCTTCATCCCCATACTGGGCACTGTCTATCAAAATATGGGTTGAAAGATTTCTTTCTAGCCATCCCACCATCATTTCTTCTTCTGTTCTTTTCCTTTTGGTGGAAACCAGAATTTTGGCTGGCAGTTATGACAGCACACAGCTGTGTCAGGATCTGCCCTCTGCCCAGGTAGTTAAATGCACGAGGTGGTCTTCATTCTGCTTCCTGATGCAGCAACTCTTCCGATCCAAGCCTCAAGCTCCTTCATTCCTAAGCATGCTTCTTTGAATAAAGTTTCCTACTCTTATTTTTAGTCTGAATAGCTTGGTATTCCCTTTACTGTAAGCCACCCAGAGAACTCTTTTGTGGGGTGGCATACAAATTCTGAAAATAAGTAAATAAAATCACTCCCGCAAACTAGGTTTTCATTTTCGGTTAGAAGACTACTCAACAGTTCCTTCTGTTCTAAGAGTGGGAAAGTATTTAACATTGCATGCCACATTTTCCTCCCTTGACAATCAAGCTGGTTTTATTTATGTTTACTGTATGGTCTCTGCGCCATTATATGCTTGCATAGCCAGGACACTGTTATTTCCATTCTGGATGTTCTCCATGTTCTGATCAAATTCTGTCATGCAATTTTTCCCATGTTTCCCCCCAAAATTTGGCACCGGTCATGAAACATTAAAGAATGTGTAAAGCTCGTGTAGCATGAAATTAAATGTACTATTTAAATTGTTCTTTGGGGGTAGGCTCCTATGTATATTGCCTTCAGCATTTCAACAAATTGGAGAGGGAACTCAGAAATGCTGTTAGGGTTTTATCCCAACTAATGCCACCGCTACCTCACGCCTGACTTGACTACGAGATAGAAAAGTTCCAGAGGCAGGATGAGAAAATATATAACAAGCAACAAGGTTTGCTCAATCAATCTCTGCACCGCCGACTTCACCTTTCCTGAAACATGCACCCCAGGAGCTCCAGAAAAAAGAGAGGCAGTTAAACTTGACCTGGTAGCCTAAACCAAGTTCTAAATCTGCCTAACCACTTAAATCTAGCTGTGACTGCTGGTATTTTTCCACTAGTTCAATGAAGGAAAACATGATGCAGGGGCTACTGTAAAACAATGGCAGCTTTGTATCTTATTTCCCCCTCTTCTCACACTAGTCCACTTCACATGTTGCATGTCGTGTGTAGAAAGCAGGGCTGTACCCCTAGTCCCACCCTTTTCACATGTTTGCAGCCATTCGTGCTAAGGAGCAGCAATGCTTCAGCAGTTGCTCACATAACAGAGCAGGATGTTACTGGCACCAATAAGAGGGTGAATCCTCGGGGTGGGACAACTTCCGTTCCACTTGTGAAAGGGGCAGCTGTCTAATGTGATTCAACCACGTCATGTGGTGTCAAATAGAGACTTCCCCTTCCTCTACAGGTGGCAGCCAAAACATGGGAGCAAGGAAAAGTATTCCTAGATATTGTGGGAGGAGAAGCATATATCTGGGGTTGCTGTTTTAAGAGTAGCTCCATATCTGTCAAAATGTCTGCATTCGTTCTACATCATGATAGGCAAACCCTGTTCAGGCAAACTTCTCTGCAATGATTCATCTTCCCATTCTGGAACTCCCTGGAGGTTTTCAAAGTTTTCTGGGTACCCCGGAGCACAATTTGTAAACCACTGCTTTTCTGCTGCATTGTACCAGTTCACACATGGTGATGGTGAGGCCTAACAGGCCCACTCCCTCCATGACCCGAGAATGAATTTGGGGATGTGTCACAGAATATTCTGCTATGCTAGGGGGCTCCACAGGTTACTAAAACATGTACATATCCTGTGTATGGAATATTTGCAAAGTAAAGCCATGCTCAGCTTATGGAAAATACAGCTTATACTTTTCTATTGTGAACCCATGTTGGATCTGCAATTTGTACCCCATGTATTATGGAGACATAAAGGGGGGTTGTTAGTAAAAAGTTACTGGTGATCCAGAACCAACCCCCAAACCCCAATTTATTTCCTTCAACATGCATAGACCAGTCACACGGTGCATGCAGCATGCAGTAAATGGACAGCAGAGGTTAATAACCTGGAAGCATAAGATCTGAGAATGTGAGAACAAGTTAAAGACAGCAGCTCCTCTCCATTGTCACTGAGGCTCGAGAAGCAATGCTGCAGCGTAGAGCAGTGGGAGTGGGGAAAATAGAGTTTGTCCAAGACATATACATATCTCCGCAAGTGGCGGCAGGTGTAACTGCAAGACAAGGGTAAAGGGAGGGAAAAGGGGTGGGGAGGAAAAAGAAAGAGGAATTTTCCTTTAAGAAAGCTACATCCAAACAAGTCAGTGGCAGATGTCAAAGAGCAAAGCAGCAGTTAGAGAATAAAAATAAAGTTGCCAAGGCAGAGAGGGTGGGCAGTCTCTACAACAACCCAGGATGATTTCATTAGTGACGCAAAGGAGGTTGCCGGCTTTGGCAGGGAGGTTGTGTGTAAACACACCAATGTTTGTGGATTTACTTTTCGGGAAAAATTCAAACCACCTTTTCATGAGACTCGAAGACAAATGCTCTTGTGCCAAGATGTAATATAAAATGTTATGGGAACAGTCACACAGCTTGTGTGGTTTTACGCAAACTGCCATCTTCAACTAGAGGAACGAAAAGGCTGAGCTCATTGCTGAGTGAATGCTTTGAGGTTCTCACAACAGCTTTTAGAAACTTAGCAGTTAACAATAACCCAGCTTGCCACAACCGTTAGGGAGTTATGGGGCTGCTGAGTCCTAGAGTCCGTGAATCATCTTAGTATTGCCTTTTATGTTCTAGAGTTTTGTTTTGTTTTCCAGCGTATATCCGCTTCTATCTTCCTGCTGCACAAACAGAAGCTTCTTGGGGGAAATCACTCAGACATTTGACTCTGTTGTAACTGATCTCTCTCTCACACATACTCTTCCAGTTCCCAGGATTTGTCACACTGTAATACAACCAAGAAACAGAATCCAAAGAGGGCCTATTCAGATAAAGGAGGGCTGCATATAGATAGGAGGAGCACACAAGTCTCAATAGCCAGGTCATGTTCAGGGAGCAGCTTTAACTCCCAGCCCAGTAATGCCATTCATTTGTTATCCCAGCCCAGTTGTATTCATTTAATTTCATCCATGTAGAAAGGTGCCTTATAGGAAATCAGATCACTGGTTCATCTAGATCAGTATTGTCTACATCAGCCTTTGCCAATATGGTGTCTCTCCAGATGTTTTAGACTGTATCAGATGGGAGCTATAGTCCCAAACATTTGGGGTGATAAGGCTAGCAAAGGTAATCTATAATAACTGGGCAGTGTCACTCCCAGGTCTTTCAAAAAGAGTGAGTTCTAGTGCTTCCTGAAGATTCTGGGGATTGTACGTGGGACCTTCCGCATCCAGAACAAATGCTCTACCGATGAGCTACAGCCCTTCCGCCATAATAAGCAACTGGCTGCTAATTATGGAGAAAAGAAAAGCACTGCATTTGACCCTGTGTGACCAAGCGAATACTGGCCTCTCAGGATGAAAAATGCAGGGCTATGCCAACAAGGTCAGCTTGGTCTTCAATGGCTCCCATTAAGTTCCATGGGATACAGTTGAGAGGCAAGGACAGGAGGACCTGCTTCTCACATCAGGATCTGAGATAACCAGGGAGAAATTCAGCTCTTATTCCAAGTATAGTCCTGCACTTTTACCCATCTAGGAGAATGGTAGTCATTCATTCCTAGGGAGAAAAGCCAAGTGCTGTACTTGGGGTTGGGACATTGTTGTAGTGGAGCTGGTAATGAGGTTGGGGACAGGACTAGGATTCTCTGTCCCTTTTCTGTCAATTATTTTGACATTTTGGAGGCTATTTGATTTATTACTAGCTTTATGTATTGCGCTTTGTTGCATGTTTTTATCTTGTGAGCTGCCTCAAGAGGACTTTTACCCTTAAAGGAGGCATAAAAATAGTTCAGTAATAAGTAGCATCACATCACATAGGCAGAGCTATGGAAAATATTTGATTGCCCCAAACTTCGGTTTAGGCTCCTCACCCCCCCCTAGTTATATTTTGTGAGTTTGGAGATATAATCAGTGGAATGTTGAAGTTAGTCCCTAGGTTTAGCAATTTAAATGGAAATTGGTGTTTGGGTCAGGCAACACTTCTCCATACCCTCAGGAATCAAGGCCAGTATTGGGTCTTTTGCTCTACCCCTCTGGCTGCCCTCATGACATGTAGAAGCCAGCACTGAAGCCAGAAGAAGACATATTTATCTTGGTGGGATTGCCCTGACTGCAAAACTTCTCTCTCTCTTTCCCTTTACTTCTCTCACAAATAAAATATAGGCTGGGTTCATACACCAGGTTCGATATGTGTCTGGGCTTTCTGCAAGGCTTCTTAAAACAACCAATTATTTTGCTTCTTGAAAGAACATTATGTACTTAATACCTGCATTTTATTACTAAAACTTATGAAAAGGAAGTTATTAAAGAATAAAAGGCACTTTCCTAGAAGCATTTTCTTCTTCTTAACTCCCAAACCAACCAAGAGGATGCAGCAAGGAGACATGTGCTACGCACAGCAGACTACAGGCTACACATTTTCCTCTTGCAAACAGTAAAATTAATTCCCAGCTCTATGGCAGTAAAGCATTGAAATGTTTGATATCACCATCTAAAAAGTTAGCATTTGGAATGTCTGGGTAACTGGAGCCTGGGAAATCAACAAGTGTGGTTTGGAGTTTTCCTATTGAAAACAGTTGTTCTTACTTAAGGATGAAACTCTGCCATTTTTGGAGATAATGAAACCAATAAAATATTTCTAGCGCCTTCTTAGTGTATAAATTTTTTCCAGGGTTATGTGCAGTATAAATCTGAAGAGTTATTAGAAAATAAAATATTATCATCTGTTCTATTAAACCAAAGCGGTACCAAAATTCTTTATGTTTTTGAACTACCACTCTATGAGATCAAAGATAAGATCCAAGAAATGCACAGCCAAACCAATATGAAAATCAAATCTCCAGAGAACAATTTTAAAATATTAGGACCACTATTTTCAGAGACTGAGTTAAGTGCAACCAGTCTGTCAGTCACACACCAGTTACTCAAGCACAAGTATTCATGTAGTCTTAAAGGGATAAAGCCATACAGAGAGAACATGTTTGAGATCTACAGCACCTCTGTTAAGTAGGTACATTTGTTTGAAGTGTGGATTTCTATTCAGTTTATCCTTCTCTCACCTTTCATACTTGTTTAAATCTACAAGAAACAGCTGGGGGAATCCATGCATAGCTTTTCTGCTGAAGTGTCACCAATATGCTCAAATCTACCTCTTTCCACCTTGATTCCAAGGAGGCAGTGGAGGTACTCAACCAGTATCTGGGGTCAATACAGGAATGGACAAAGGCGAGCAAGCTGAAATTTAATCCAGACAAGATGGGTGTGTTGCAAGGTGGGAGTTCTGCTAATTAAGGATTGGTTGCATAGCCTATTCTGGATAGAGTTATATTTTCTTGAGGATCAGGTAAACAACTTAGTAGTGCTCCCTGGACCTAATGCTTTCCTAGAATACTCTGGGGTTCCCCCTCTCTTTTTTTGGTTACAAGCAGCTTCAGCTGGTTTACCTTTTCATGTGAAACTGCGTACAGCATTGGTCACTGATGCCCTAGTGACATTCAGGTAGGATTCCTGCAGTTCTCTCTACATTGCGCTGTCTTTAGAGACAATGTGGCAACTGCAGGCAGCTGGAAGTGTAGCTTCCAGAATACTGACTGGAACCCAGACCACATAACATACATCTTATAGAAGATTCATGGCTGCCTATTTAGTTCTTGGCTCAGTTGATAAAGTGCTAGTGGTAACCTTCGAAGCTCTAAATGTCCAAGGACTGGGCTATGTCAGGAACTACATTATCACTAACCACCCTTTCCTGATTTTGCTATCAACTGCAGATGTCCTACTCTATGACCCATCACCACTAGAGATTCAGCGGACCAATATATGGTATTGGGCTTCCTCAGTAATAGCACCCATACAGCAGAATGCTCTCCCACTAAATTCAGCTGGTGTGTTAAAGGGCAACTTGTTGAGAGAGGTGTTTATATGATTTCCATGTTCTGTTTCTATTCTGATGCTGCTGCCTCACTATTTTAAGTGTACTTTCTGAAAAACCACTATTTATTGCAAGCCACTCAGGGCACAAGCAGAATACATGCTTAGCACAATAGCTAACAACACTGACAAGTAGACATTTCATCCTTGACATAATGTGGAATGATTCTTATTCCTTCATGGATATAACACTGATGTTCTGTGGTGTTCTTTTTAAGTTTTAGAGGATTATGTTTCAAATAACTGTCGTTAGCTGCCTTGGACAGCCCATTAGGAGTATAGGTGGGATATAAACATTTTAATAAATGAATAAATACTGGGAGGAAAAGCAAACTACTACTGTTAGAAGAGCTACTCAGACTCAAAACTTAAAAATTTTTAACTAAGGGTCTCTTCAAACATGATAATTTCTAATAGAGAAGGCTCTGTGAAGCCTAAAGAAAAAAGTGTCATTGTTTGAAATGTGGTGAGAAGTACATTTATCAGGCAGCTAAGACGAGGAGCAGTTGAGTAATCAATGTGCTTATTCTGAAAAGATTCAAGAAGATTGTTATAATTCTCACACAGAGAACTAAGTGGCAAAAACATACCTAAGTTGATTAGTGGAATACCACAACCCCTTCTCAGAGGGAAGGATGCCTGCCAAGTTCTTCTGATGCTCCCTAGGTAAAGGTAAAGGTACCCCTGACCGTTAGGTCCAGTCATGGATGACTCTAAGGTTGTGCACTCATCTCGCTCTATAGGCCAAGGGAGCCAGATTTAGTCTGCAGACAGCTTCCGGGTCATGTGGCCAGCATGACTAAGCCGCTTCTGGCGAACCAGAGCAACTCATGGAAATGCCGTTTAGCTTCCTGCCAGAGCAGTACCTATTTATCTACTTGCACTTTGATGTGCGTTTGAACTGCTAGGTGGGCAGGAGCTGGGACTGAACAACGGGAGCTCACCCTGTCGTGGGGATTCGAACCGCTGACCTTCTGATCGGCAAGCCCTAGGCTCTGTGGTTTAGACCTCAGCGCCACCCGCTCCCTAGTCAAGAGTTTTATTTGACAAAGTAAGGGGACCATTATGACATGGCCAAGCAAGTCACTTGAAGTTCACAGACCACATTTCCTGCCAAGAGCATCAGTTGTGCTTTTCCA